CAATATTGTTATAAACCTGTAGTAGCTTAGAATCCTTCCATACAGCTGAATAAAATCCCACATTATCTGCTTTGAACTGGGATATACTGCAGTGTGGACTCTGATATTCCTGTTCAAAGCAGATATTGTGGGTTATTCTGTCTTGATATTCTGGTTTATATGGCTGTGTAGAAGGGTCCTTAGAAGCTGTCAAGGTGTTAACTTACATTGGTAAATAAAAACAAATTATCCAAAGAATCTATACAGGCTCTGTTTCATATTCAAGGCAAGTTCCCAAAAACTGAAAGGCCTTCCAGACAGGCCCTATATCCCACGATCTGATCTCAGGTTTTCCACTTTAAAGTGGCTTATATGAGTTGTCACTGCCAGATAATCTAGGTTAAACAGAAAACCTAGGATCAGATCCTGAGATATAGGGCCTGTTTGGAAAGGCCTTGCATACAGGCAGTCCTGAGTTACAATCATCTGACTTACAAATGACTCTTAGTTACAAACGGGGGTGAGACATAAGAAAGTGAGAGAAATCCATCCCTTGGAAGGGAAATTCATCCCTGAAGGAGTTATCATGGGGAAAAAGTGTCTCCACTGAAGGTTGATCACCAATACTTGTTTCCACAACATGCCATTTTTTTTTCAAAATCCAATTATCACAGAGACTGAAAGTGAGGCGAAATCTTCTGAACAAGGGCACAGACCACAAAACAAATGTCACAAATCTGTCTCTCTCTTTCTCTCTCTGACCCTCTTTCTCCCTCCCCCTCTGGCTAAAGATACTCTTAAATTGTATGTGTTCCAAATTACAAACAAATTCAACTCGTAACTTGGGGACTGCCTGTATTCTTACTTTCTGAATCAATCACTATTAAAAGCAATCTTTCCCACACTGGCACCTAAACAACAAATGCCAGCAACCAATCTACCCTTATCCAACACTTCAATAGCATTTCGTTATAAAAAGCACACCTTAAGTAAATATTCAATCTGCAGTGTTGGTTTGAACTCTGCATTGTTTACATAGAAATTAGGCCAATTGATTTCTGTGAGATACAAAGCAGAGTAAGTACACTTTGGACAACACACCCTTTATTACTGTTGTTATTACTTCAAGACCCTATGTTGACCTAACGTAAACCTAGCAAGGGGTTGTGCCCCCCCAAGATTTTATCAGAGAAGGTTTGTCATGGCCTTTCTCTGAGGTTGAGACTGTGACTTGTCCAAAGTCACCCAATAGGATTCCAGGGCCATGAATAGATTTGCACCCTGGCCTATAGAGTTAAACCCAAGCCACTACATCACACTGGTTCTCACTTCCGTTATATAGCAGTGGTCTTAACCTGTTGGCAGCAGACCACCAGTGGCCCGCAAGCCTCCCTCCTCTTTATTTATTTATGACAAGACAATGGAATTGGACAATGCTTTTTCTAACAAGGAGACGCTAATGATGTTGTTTTTATTGCTTCTGTTGTTGTTTTATAATGTTTTAATTTGTATTATGATATAATGTGTACTGATTTGTTGTAAAGTGCCTTGAGCTGCCGATAGGCTGAGAAGGGCGGTATAGAAATACAGTAAATAAATAAATAAATATTTTATTTCCTCTCCTTTTGCGTTGCCTGCCACTTCTTCCCTGTCACTGACCATGGCATATGTTCTGTATCAGAAACTAGAGCTGATGTGATCTATCCAATGCAATTTTCTGAATCAGCACCCCAAAGTGAATCTAAAGTTGACCAAAAACTGATTCAGAATTGTTGGAACTAACGTTGGAGAGTTGTCCCTGGTCAAAAAAAAAGGTTGGGAACCACTGCTTTAAAGGATCAGTTTTCTATGGTTTGTTTTTTCCCTTCGGTTAAAGGAAGGTCCAATAGGCACAACAAAATTACCCCATTGAAGGTGGTATATGAATGTCATTTTCAGAGCTACTCTAACATATTCAAATTGCTGGGCTGCTATGAGAGTTAAAATGAGTTTTGTTTTGCATGGGTGGGCTCTTTTTCTTTCTTTTTTGGATAGATTCTTAAACGGTGCTACTTGAGAAATCCCACAGCTCTTTTCCACATGGTTTGTGAAGGAAACTGTTCAAGCTGCAAGGTAGAGCAACTGAAACGCCTCTCCTTTTTATGAGCATGACCTGTAACATTCTATAGCACCCAGAGAGCCAGGCACCAGGCCAACCCATTAGTCTACCGAATGAGGGGCAGAAATTTACAATTTTACAACCTATACTTTCTGGTATAGGATGCAGTTTTAAGCGGGCAGGAAGGGAAGGGGGAGAAATCCACAGGAGCTGGAGAAAACTGTGGCAGTCCCAGCCAAGGCAGTACAATGCCTGCCATTCATTCCCAATATTAAAATCGAAAGCTGTAACACCATCCATCCCAAGATGGCTTTCCCAAACCTCACTGATGACAAGCAAACTTTTGCTCTCTGTTGGGCTATATCAATGAAGCAAGTCGCCTATCCCCATGGGTGCATCTACAGTTGGCCCTCTGTATCCACAGATTCAGCAACCACGGATTCTGCCAACCACAGCTAGAAAATACTCCAAATAAATTAAATTCTCAAAAGGCAAACCATTATCTTGCTATTTTATAACCTGGATGCCCCTTTCCTACACCATCATATATAATGGGATAAGCATCCACTGATTTTGGTATCTACATGGACTTATGGAACTAACCCCCAATGTAGAAAAAAAACCTGATGTAGAAAAAAACCCCTCCTAATTAGCTTAATTACATTTATCACCAAGTTATGAGTTTATATCCAGATCAAAAGTGAGAACTATGTAGTCTTCCAGATATTCCTGAACGAATTCCCTGGCAATAAGGAAAAATGCTGGGAGATGCAGTCCAATAGCAAATGGAGCGAGGACTCAAGGAAGAAAATCACAAATTTTAAACTTGTGTCTTATCTTTAATCTTTTAATATGTATTTTTAGAATTATGTTTTAATATGGGCATTTTGTATAATGTTTTTAGATGATTGCATGTTTTTAGCAATGTTGTAAAGCACCTGGATGCATGAGGAGAGGGGGGTATGAAATAAAATAATAATAATAATAATAATTATTATTATTATTATTATTATTATTATTATTATTATTATTATTATATCACCCATTGCATTTCAAAAGGTGCATCTATATTGCAGAATTAATGCACTTTAACTGCCACCATGGAACCCTGGGAGTTGTAGTTTGGAGGCAGCAGCACTACTTGCCAGAGAAGGCTAAAGACTTTTTAAAAATAATAATGCTATGCTAATAGTATAATATATTGCTATGCTATGCTAATAGTATAATATATTGTACTAGCGGTCCCCTGCCATGCGTTGCTGTGGCCCAGTCTGGTGATCAGGAAAATAAAGTAACGAGAAAGTTTTGCTTTCTAATATATGTAATGTTTTTATGCTTATGGGTAAACACAGTATTCCTTGCTGTTTCTTTGCCAGTGTTGATGTGGAGATTGTCTGGTTTGCCTACTCTGGAATATGCAACATATAATTGTCCTTCTTTAGGGGTCCCTTTCAAATCTTTGATAGTACATCTGTCATACACATATATATGTGTGTGTGAATGGCTGGATGGCCCTTTGTCAGGAGGGCTTTGATTATGTTTTCTTGCCCTGGTGAAGGGAGTTGGTCTGGATGGCCTTAAGGCAGCATTTCTCAACTTGGGAAGTCAAGACCCAAGGGGGGGGTCACCAGGGGGGTGTCAGAAGGGTCACCAAACACCACCAGAAAACACAGTATTTTCTGTTGGTCATGGGGGTTCTGTGTGGGAAATTTGCCCTATTTCTGTCATTGGTGGGGTTCAGAATGCTCCCTGACTGTAAGTGAACTATAAATCCCAGTAACTACAACTCCCAAATGTCAAGGTTTATTTCCCCCAAACTCCATCTGTGTTTTTATTTGGGCATATTGCGTATTTGTGCCAAGTTTGGTCCAGATCCATCATTGTTTGAGTCCACAATGCTCTCTAGATGTAGGTGAACTACAACTCCCAAACTCAAGGTCAATACCCACCTGTGTGCCAAGTTTGGTTCAATTCCATCATTGGTGGAGTTCAGAATGCTCTTTGATTATAGGTGAACTATAAATCCCAGCAATTACAACTCCCAAATGACAAAATATTTGGGCATATTGAGTATTTGTGCCAAGTTTGGTCTTGATCCATCATTGTTTGAGTCCACAGTGCTCTCTAGATATAAGTGAACTACAACTCCAAAACTCAAGGTCAATACCCACCAAACCCTTCTAGTGTTTTCTGTTGGTCAGGGGAGTCCTGTTTGCCAAGTTTGGTTCAATTCAGTCATTGGTGGAGTTCAGAATGCTCTTTGATTGTAGGTGAACTATAAATCCCAGCAACTACAACTCCCAAATGACAAAATCATAATGTTTTGAGTGATGGTCACTCCTTGTGTAGTGAGACGTTTTGTTGCCAAATTTGGTGTGATTTTATTCATTGGTTCTTTTGTTTTTAAGGTACTCATTACGCACAGAGCATTGTATATATATAATAGAAGAAAGAAGATGTACATAGAACTTGTAAGCTGCTCTGAGTCTCCTTTGGGGTGAGAAGGGTGGGATATAAATGCCTTAAATAAATAAATATTAATTAGAGGTCACTTCACCTCTCAGACTGCATCTATACTGTGGAATTAATGCACTTCAACGCCACTTTAGCTGTCATGGAAGCATGGGATCTGCAGTTTGGTGAGGAACCAGCCCTCTTTGGCAGAGGAGGCTAAAGTCCTTGTAGAACTACAACTCACGTGACTTCAGAGGCTGGATGGCTATCTGTCAGGGGTGCTTTGAATGCAATATTCCTGCTTCTTGGCAGGGGGGTTGGACTGGATGGCCCATGAGGTCTCTTCCAACTCTTTGATTCTATGATTTTATGATTCATAGCCCTGAGCCATGGCAGTTAACATGGCATCACACTGCATTGATGTTACAATGATGGAAGGAAGGAAAGAAAAATCAAAGTCCTGGCTTACCTTTTGGATTCCTGAACTCAGATCCATTCCTCAGCCCACCTGGCTCGACTTCTTTGACTTCTTCGTACTGGAATCAGCCTGCAGTGAGGCAATAGAGCAGCGACTTCAGGCAGAACTAGCAACGAGAGTGTCTCTGCTTGCAAAAAAAAGGATCACCAAGGTAGAACTTCAACCCACTCCACTTTGCAGCCGGAGGCGCAAACAGAGTCCCTTTAAATTGGAACCCTCGAAAACGCCGCCGGCCAATCAGGGGAGAGCGGCGAACTTTTCCATCCAATAGTCAGCGAGGCTTTAATCCTTCAGTTCTGAGCTGGCTTTTAACCCTCCGGGGGGGAGGAAGGGCGGGGAATGAATGGAGCAGCCCTTGCTCTGACTCAGGCGGCGCCTTTTTTTGCCCTTTTAAAGGGATGGCAGCCCATTCATTCGGGAAAAGAGGAAATGAGTGTGTGTTGTGGCGGGAGTCCCGGCGGGAGGCTGTGCCCTCGGGATCCCAAAATAAATCCTGACCTCAACCGTGCCTCTTGGCCCCTGCCCCGCCTCTGCCTCTCCATCAGGATGTAGATCAGTGACTCCCAACTCCAGGGATCTCTGGCCATTCACTCAAGTGGGCGACTCTATTGGGAGCTGAAGTTCAAAACATCTAGGTCAGGCGTGGGCAAACTTTGGCCCTCCAGGTGTTTTGGACTCCAACCACGATTCTCTAAGCCGGTAGGCTGTTAGGAATTGTGGGAGTGGAGTCCAAAACCCCTGGAGGGCCAAAGTTTGCCCACGCCTGACCTAGAGAATCTGATATGGTAATTATTGTTATTTCAAACACAACAAGATGAGCCCAAAGGTTATGAAATTGTCAATGAATTATATGGGAAGAAATGTTTTCTCTCTAGCATGGGTGGCAGCGTTAGCAAGGTGCTGGATGGCTGGTAAGTCACTTTACTTACTTCGGCAATCCCTCGTGGGACGAGTAGGATAGTCTTCCATGATCAGTATTCTTGTGGATCCGTAGGTGCAGGGGTGGCTCAACCCATTACGCAAAGTAAGCATTCGCAGTATAGGGGCGCTCTCGAGGCGCTCTTGGGGGAAAATAGACCTTGACATATGCGAGTTGTAGTTACTGGGATGTATAGTTCACCTACAATCAAAGAGCATTCTGAACTCCACCAATGATGGAATTGAACCAAATATGGCACACAGAACTCCCACGAAGAACAGAAAATATATATCAGTGATTGTTTTTTTTGGGGGGGGGGGGGATACTGTTTGCTTACCATTGCTTACCATTGAAAGTTACCTAGGGCCACCTCTGCGTAGGTGACTGTAGAGCCCTATTCTTGATCTGCATCTTCTCCCACAGTGAGGGCATTGGTTTCCAGGTGGAAGGCGGTCTCGGTCAGGGTTGGCTTGATGCGCCTTCCTCTGGCATGTTTCTCTCTTTCACCCTCCATTCATGCCTCTTCAAATTCTACAGCACTGCTGGTCACAGCTGACCTCCAGCTGGAGTGCTCAAGGGCCAGGACTTTCACCTTGTCGTGGTGAGGGGGCTTGCGTGTTCCAATGAACCTGTGGGCACAACAACTGGAGTCGTGCACTCCCAGGAGTGGCCACGGGGGAAGTTCCAGACCAAGCACAGTCCGAAGACCCAAAGACCTCAACGGCAGAGCAGGCAGAGGGAGGATAACATGGTACATGTTACAACGGCTGTGAAGGCAGAAGAAGGCTGCAACAGATTGAGAAGCCATGGTCATTGTGTTAAACTACACCACCAGTGGAGCCTCACTCTGTGAAGACTGATCAGTTGTGCACTGACCTCCACACATTAAAAAAAACTCACGCACAGGCATCTTCCAAAATCCCAGCAGTAAGTCACTACAGTACAGCTGAATTGTAGTCAAAGGGAACTTAATGGGAAGGGTAAGGTATGAAAGGTAAATCATTTTGAGGTAAAGGTAAACTGCCCTGAGTCCCCCTCGGGGAGATAGGGTGGGATATAAATAAAGTTGTCTATTGTTGTTGTTGTTGTTCATTTGTTCAGTCGCTTCTGACTCAAGGCACTCTCAGAACTTTCCTCCAACACCACAGCTCAAAAGCATCTATCTTCCTTCGCTCAGCCTTCCTTAAGGTCCAGCTCTCACATCCGTAGGTTACTACAGGGAATACCACTGCTTTGACTATGCGGATCTTTGTTGCCAGTCTGATGTCTCTACTCTTCACTATTTTATCAAGAATTGGACATTGCTCTCCTCCCAAGAAGTAAGTGTCTTCTGATTTCCTGGCTGCAGTCTGCATCTGAAGTAATCTTTGCACCTAGAAGCACAAAGTCTGTCATGGCCTCCATGTTTTCTCCCTCTATTTGCCAGTTATCAATCACATTGGTTGCCATAATCTTGGTTTTCTTGATGTTTAACTGCAACCAAGCTATTATTATTATTATTATTATTATTATTATTATTATTATTATTATTAGAAACACAATAAGATGAGTCCACAGCAGACACTCTGCTGGCTGTTGTATTGAATCACATGTCGGACACTTTCTAAGTGTCTAGGACTGTGTGATGTATTGTCGAATAATGCATGCAGATTCCAGTAAGGTGGCCTTCAGCTTACACCGGCAACAATTCAATGCCACAAGATAATACAAATATAGACAAATATAACAAAGGTTTAAACTTTAAATAGGACATTAAGTTAAAAACACATTAAAAACATTGTCATCAATCCATATAGCCAATTCCAATCCCATTCAATATCCAAAATGCTGTCATGCTTGCTGGCCAAAGGCCTGGTCCCAGAACCACAATTTAACCTTTTTTCTGAAAAAAAGGAGGGAAGATCCTGACCTGAGCTCACTGGGGAGCAAGTTCCATAGGTGTGAGGCCACCACCAAGAAGGCCCTGTCCCTTGTCTCCGCCAAGCACATATAGTTATATGATAATTATAGCCCTATTGGATCGTGAGAACACCAATCCACAAGTGAGCCATACTTCTGTCAAATTAACCCACTTTCCGAAACTTTTGTTTTCTAGAAGTTTTTTTCTTATCTCAATCAAGGTGTATCTACAGCCCTCCAGGAGTTTTGGACTTCAACTCCCACAATGGAATTGAAGTCCAAAACACCTAGAAGGCCGAAGTTTGCCCATGCCTGATCTACTAGGTAGAATTCATGCAGTATGACATTTTAACTGTCATAGCCCAATGCTATGATATCCTGGGATTTGTAGTTTGGTGAGGCACCCTCACTCTGGCAAAGAAGGCGAAAGACCACGTCAAGCTAGAACTCCCATGATTCCATAGCTCTGAGCCATGGTGATTAAAGCGTCCTCAAAACTATATTAATTCTATAGTAAAGATGAATTCCTAATTGTACAAAGAATAGGCTGGAAGTGAAGAAAAGTGTAGAATGCCTTTCCTAGGGCACATCTAGCCACAACATGTGTGTGTGGAGAAGAGCAAACCATAGACCACTGACTACAATGTAGCCTGAGGCCCGCCACATGCACAATGGAGGACCTTCTTACCAGAAGCACTCAAAGTGGCCAGCTTCTGGTTAAAGGAAATTTAGTATAATGCCAAGTTTTTAACTTTGTGGATTTTAAACTTTGTTTGTGGTTTTTATATACATTATAACTGTATTCTCAATTCATTTCTGATACGACAAATAAATATCTAGGCAGACTGAAACATTGTACTCACAGATGCTCGGATCCTGACACACAAATCAAGAATAAGTTGCTTGCTATGTGTTTCTTGGGGATTTAGGGCCCTTCCACAAAGCCATATAACCCACAATATAAAGGCAAAGAATCCCACAATACCTGCTCTGAACTGGGTTATCTGAGTACACACTGCCATATATTCCAGTTCAAAACAGATAACGTGGGGTTTTATTCAGCTGTATGAAAGGGGCCTTAATCTGTTTTTTAAAAAAACTTTGGCTTTTCTCCAGCTGTTTTTACAGAACTGAGACTTTTCGTCATGTGGTCATCCCTCCAGGCAGCATTGCTTTCCTTGTATATCAGCATTAGCGCACTCCTGTTTAAGAGAAACACATATTTGCAGGAAAACATGCACACACACAAAAGGGCCAGTCACGTCCATGTGGCTAAAAATAATGCAAAGGATTGGAAATGCAGAGCAGTTGCTGATGGCAAGATGAGTTTTATCAGGGGAAAAAGTGTGGTGCATTTTGAGCTGGATTATTTGAGTCTACTCTGCTATATAATCCAGTTCAAAGCAGATAATCTGGATTTTATATGGTAGTGTAGAAAGGATCATACTTCAGGAAATAAAGCCCAACTGCTCACTGGAGGGAAGGATATTAGAGGCAAAGATGAAGTACTTTGGCCACATTATGAGAAGACAGGAAAGCTTGGAGAAGATAATGATACCGGGGAAAATTGAAGGGAAAGGGAAGAGGGGCCGACCAAGGGCAAGATGGATGGATGGTATTTGTGACATCACACAAGGAAATAAAGATAGAAACTTCCAAGCAGGAGGGACCTTTCTTTTGTTATCCCACCACTGCCACTATAATTATGTGTTGAACGAAGACAAACTGACAGGCAAACGGGGCAATGACACTGGTATGAGACTTGAATGAGAAGAAAGGTTTGACTTTTAAAATACTGTTTGTATGTGACACTTCACTGTGTAACCCAATACTGTACTGGATCCAGTTCTAAATGATCTTCTTCAGCCATCTTCCTTGAAGTAAATCTTCACTTCATTAATTTGACACAAGTCTTTGTTGTAAGAATTGAATAAAAATATTTATTTAAGCATTCTCAGGCACAGAAAGTGTATTGGTTACACTATATTTTCCTCCACAGTACTTCTTAGATACTGTTACAGTTAACTTTTATTATCATCAACACTTGAAACAGTTTCTATATAACTTCCAGAATGGCTTATCTTTTTACTAGCCTGGTTTAGTAACTTCCTTCACTTAAAAAAGTAATTCTTTCTCAGTCTCCTGATTGGGTCACTTAAATCCTATAATTTATTCACCTTAGCAATAGGTTAAATGTAAATTTATTTCTCAGAGAACACTTTTCTCCTCAGTCTTACTGACTGACAGTTAGGCACAGTTTCTCCTTTCATTTACTTCAGCTTTCCACTGAAGACACAATACAATACTGGGAACTCCTTTCCCCTAGCTCACAAGCTTGTTTCTAATTCAGAACTGGTTCATTTAACACTCTAAATATCAAGGCTGAAGACATAAAC